TGAATCCACCTACTATTTAAATTTTCTAAATCACTTCAATCAATATCAAGTATTTATTGTTTTCTAGTAACTGTCATGAAACAGAGTGCTGGATTAATAAAAACTGTTTTCAGTAAGTAAGAAATAAAAGAAATTATCATTAACTTATCAGAGGCAAAGTTTTCTGCTATAAAATAAATTTTGGGCTTAGGGAATGGAGAGCTCAGTAGCAGAATGTTTACCCAGCATGCACTTGCTAGAGACACCATTTTAATTATGACTAACTGAAGTCTTACAAAACAAGGTTGTAAAGTACTTTCAGAGACTTAGTGGACTTTTATAAGAACCCATAGTAATTACATGCCAGATTCCTTCCTACTTCCATCTGGCAGAAGAGGAAACTAGGCACACTATTAAGGTGGGAAAAAGGGAAATCCTAGGCACAGCCAGTGAGCAGCACCATGGAGACACTGCTCCACAGAGAAAAGTGTGAGCGGGAAGTGCCCGTTCGGCCACTCTAAAAAACACTAGCACTCCATCCTGCTGTGCCCCCCCCACATATGACCTACAGACATGTTCCTGTGAGGCCACGGCTGCATCCTCTCTGCCCAGCTTCATACTGACTTAGTGAAGGAGGGTCTGGGTTAGTGTAAATGGCTTTGATGAAGTACTAGCACTCCATCCTGCTGTGCCCCCCCCCCACATATGACCTACAGACATGTTCCTGTGAGTCCACGGCTGCATCCTCTCTGCCCAGCTTTATACTGACTTAGTGAAGGAGGGTCTGGGTTAGTGTAAATGGCTTTGATGAAGGACTTTACTCCTCTGCAGCTCAAATTTCCAACCTGCAAAGAGGCTTTTATGCACTAGCCAGCACTTTCAGGTCTTGACTGACAACACTTGGGTAGGGATGGATTGTGGTAGACATGGGAGTGTCCAACATTGTCAAAGATTGCAACTGTGCCATGGAGACACAGCTCTGGGAGGGAGAGCATTTTTACTAACAATTGATTATGAACCTACTGAGAGCACCGATCAATTCCCCCTCCGCCATGTCTGCCATCAATCCAGGGGCCCAGAACCCTTTCCACCATTACAAGCACACATAGGTCAAGTCGGGCCCAAAAGCAGAAACCTAGGATCCCATCTCCCCAACCACCAGGCCCAGATATTTGAAGATGAGAAATTATTCCAGGCTCATACTATGAACCAACATTGATTTTTGCTAAAAGGATCATGAATATTTTGGTCATTATTGTTTTAAAAGATTTATTCTTAGATTATGCGTTGAGCTGAGTTGGCTCAAGTGTTCATTTTTTTTTTTTTAATCACAGATTTTTAGGTGGGTTTAAACTTGATGAAATATTCATGGAATTTAAATTCTATTAAAAACACTGGAAAGTGTTCAATCATATTTGAAGCAAAAAGGTAAGATGAAAAGCATCACTCTTTAAAGTCCTTCCATTCCAAACAGAAACTAAGATTGCAGTCTGGAATCAAACACTAACTAAAGTCCTTACATTCCAAACAGAAACCTAAGATTGCAGTCTGGAATCAAACACTAACTGCATTTGGAGCTGGCTGTTTAGTTCTTTGATGTTCTGGCTTCCTCATCTGTAAAATGAGCTAAACCCTAACACCTGTATGGGGGCCGTGCTGTGTAAATGTGGTGATCTAATCCTGATGAAGCATCTCCCATCCAGCTGGCACACAGTATGGGCCTCAAAATTCCTGACTGGGATGATTAATGTGGACACTCTCCTATTACGCATTGCAAAAATATTGAGGGAAAAGACTGCAATATTAACAGTGGTTGTACATCAAGTAAAAGCTTATTTGAACTTAATTCTTTATACATTTTTGTGACTCAACATTATACACAATGAAGATGCCTTGTGTTTTATTCTAAGGGCACAGGCCATTTTATAAGAGAGAGGAACTTTCTATACATACCACTCTGCTCTCTTTCTACCCCAGTAGCCAGTAAGTCAGGCTCCCCAAGGCTGATGTCATTGATTCTGGTCCCCACACACTCCATCTGGAGGACTTTGAACCACTCATCTGCCTCCAGGTCTACAGAAATGACCAAAAGAAAGTAGATTATCCTGTATGCCCAGCATCTAAAATCCGAAATCAAAAGACTCTCTTCACCTTAAACAAACCTGATTCACAAGCAAAGGTCTTGGAGGTGTCATCGTTGAAATAGATCCCTATGGCGTGCTTCTTGGTACTCTTCGGCAATCGAGCTACGTTTTTCACATTGTTAAGTTCTGTAACCTGAAAGATGAGAAATTGGAAGTCTGGTCACATGTTCCACATGAATACTTGCACCCTACAAGTACCGGAGCTGAGTCCCAGAGTACAGTGAGCAGCAGATCACCCATCAACCCGGCTTCACAGATCGGATCTGGGGATTTGCAGGCTAAGTGTGATGTACAGACATGGGAGAGATGAACAAGGAGAAGCAGGCCAATCCAGCACTAAATTATCACATCAGACGGAGTGTCAGGAGTCCATGTTGGATGTCAAGCTACACACCCCAGCTCCAAGACTCCATCACAAACTTGATGTCACTGAATTTTTCATTGTGTCTGACTCACTTCAAGCTTCTCAGAAGTTATGGGGTCTCTTTCTGTTTTAGGATCTGAGAACATTGCACAGCACCACCCCATTCCCACCAGTAGGAAAGATACCTCATTACACATTCTGTTCCCTTCCCTCTCTCCAATCTCTCTTATCCAATGGCACTTACACAATCCCTCCCCTGCCGTAGGAGATCCTGACTCACTCTGTGTCCACCACGGCAGTCCCGTTGACATGGGATCCTGGGCTAAACTGGATGAGTGGCATATTTGGGTTTTGCCAGAAAGAAGGCTTATATGACTTCAGGGCAAGTATTTACAAGATAAATAACCATTTCAATCTGACAAGCTTAAACTCCCCTTAACACATCTTTTTTTGTGCTATTGTACAAAAGAATCTACCTCCCATCAATCTTGGCCCGCAATGACGTCGGACCACTTCTCCCATCCATTGTTCTAGATTCAATAAATGCCAAGAAATAAATGGGAAGAGAAATAAATACCCTCCATGCACACATTCACCTGATCATTGCATTTCCCTATTTCTTAACCTCCACTGCTCTTCTGATAATGTAAATGCAAATTTATATTCTCAACATGAAATATCACACAGTGATTCTCAGAGGCTTACTGAGGCCACATCTCCAGGGACTGCACCACAAGGCTCATCCTCCACCAAGCACCTTGGCACTCACCACATACCACCCTTGATGTGTGTGTTGATTCTTGTCCCACAGCCCAATCTAAGCCACTATCCTCTTTCCATAATTGTTTATTGGTCTCCCAGCTTCCATTTTAAACCCCAGGAGTTCACTATGCAAACAGTGGAAGATCTTTGGTCAACACCAAATTCCAATTGTGGCATTTCTATGCATGGAATATAACACTTCAAAGAGTCCTCATTGTACGTGGGACAAAGGTCCAAATCCTTAGGTTCAAATGGCCACTGCCATCCTCTGTGCCTCCCCCCAGCACGCGTCTATCATCGCCTCAAGATTGCTATGGGCCAGTCGAACTGGCCTTGATTCGCTGCAAGAATACACTCCGTGACTTTTCAAGCGCAGAGCCCTCTGCTTTTCACCCTAATGCACTCCAGTCGTCGTACAAGTCTTAATTTATATCTCATCTCTCACTGACGCCCTACTGGACACTCCACACCAATAGCTAAACCTTCCCAAGCTTCACAATACATAACAACCTTCATGGTTTCCCTCATGACCCTCCACTGGTTACATGACCTATTGGTTCAGTTTCTGCTTTGCCTAAGGAAAGCCAGACACACAGGGGAGGGACAGTATTTTTGTTCATCACTGTTTTCTCTGACTCTAATGTAGAGCTTGTCCTCTGCTGGGAACTTGGTCACAACACATGGGCTCTGTGAGCCAAAAACCAGACTCTCCTACAAACTTACCTTGGAAGCCCATTTCCCCGGGAGACTCGCCATGACCTCAATGTAAATTAATTTTTCCCTTCCCTGTGCATCTGTATGTGCTATCTGATGCTTGACTTGATTTTCTGTGTTTGTAACTTACATATTCATCCCTCCAGCTCTCAGCAAGACCAGACAATGACTTCCTGATGGACTGTATCACAGAAACACAATCAGGCATGAACCAGCACACACAGAACCCACCATAAGCCTCATTCAGGCCTTAGCATTTTCATATAGAGTATCTAGTTTGATCATCATAAAAATCATAGCGATAGATGTTATTATTATCAACATTTTTTAGGAGCAGAAACTGAGGCTAAGAAAGGATAAAACTGCACAACCAAGTTCAAGGCTTAAAAAAAGTGACAGAAGGGGGATGTGGGAAAAGCGAATGGTTACTTCTTACTCTGTCTGAAACACTGACTTATCTTTTTGAATCTTTTTTGAGACAGGGTCTCCCTGTAGCCCAGGCTGGCCTGGAACTCATGATGCAGATGAGGCTAGTCTCAATCTCACAGAGATCCACCTTCTTTTCCTCCCTAGTGTTGGGATTAAAGGCGCGAGCCACTGTACCTGGATTGACTGTTTTAAAACTTTCAGACTAGAGAATCTTTAGCCCACAGAAATTACCTCCTCCTTAAAGACCATTTTCTTTTCAACATGACCTCTTCCCTTGGGGAATACAGGTAGAGTATATATGTTCCAGGCTTTAGGTTGACCCTCTACTGAGACATTCTTTAAGATAAGTCCTTTCTAGCCTGAAACACAGCCATGCCTTTGAATTATGAGGCTTCATTACATATCCATTAAGGGCAAAGAGGAAAACAAGTCACCGGAAACAGTCAGGATATGCAGGGGAAGTGCATGAGTCAGAGCAAAATTACCCATTCTGGAAATTGGTTTTGGTAATAAGCAAAGCAACACCCCCGCTCACTGCTCCGGGGAGGCCGAGTGATTGTTCATAGAGCAGACAGGATCAAGACCGTCTGTGACAATGGATGACTGGATTCCAAAGCAACTGTGTGCACCAAGCTCAGAGCAATACTTGAATGATGTACAATGATGTGTGTACACACACACACACACACACACACACACACACACCACTTGAATGATGTACAATGATGTGTACACACACACACATACACACACACACACACACATACAGATGTGTAAACAAAGCCCTTATCGCTACACACAGTTTTACAGAGCTGCAGTCTATACAAATTCAAGCCAAACTCTTGCCCACCATACATGCTAAAGAAAACCTGACAGCCCCATCCACAGGGACCTCTATGACACATTTGGGAAGTGTCTGTATTGCCACTGTCTCTCTATTCTACACTGGGAGGACTGGATGTGCTAATGTGCCTTTTACAAAGAAGCTATTTTCATCGGAACATTCTTGAGGTCTCGGGCTCTCATTTAATAGCAATGTTATTCGAAATGGGGACTACAGACATTTACCTAACCAGCAAAAGTGACTGTAATAGATCAGTTAGATTCCTCAAAGAATACGAGCAACAGCTTGTATAAGTGACACGACTCCTTCAGGGGACCATCAATCCAAGTTTCTTTGAAGTCTGTATTAGCTTCCTTTCTGTTGCTGTGATAAAATACCCCCACAAAAGCAACCTGGGGAAGAAAGGCTCTACTTTGGCCCACAGTTCTATAGGGGCACGGTCCATCATGGCAGAGGTGGCGGGAACCTGGGCCTGGCCTACGACACTGCTTCGGGGGTCTGGAAGCAGAGACAGAACACAAAGTGGGGCCAGACTACCACACCTCAAAGTCTGCCTCCAGTGATGTACTTCCTAAGCAGTAGTACCAGCTGGAGACCAAGCGTTCAAACACATGATTCTCTGAAGGTCATTCCACATGCAGACCACAGCCCAATCTTTTCAGAGCCTCAGTAGCTATAAGACTTCATTCTTCTTTTGCCACAAGAAAAAAAAAAAATTGATTCCTGTTAATTAAGTTCTCTGTTGAAGCAACTATATGTATAATGTGTGATTTAGTATATCAGTCCTGGGATAAAATGGTTTCTCAAGGTGTGGAGGGGACCACTAAGTCCACTCGTAGCGGAAGCATAGTCCTTTTTATTTTTTTTTAATTTTATTTATTATTTTTATCTTATGTGTATGCGTGTATTGCCTGCATGTAGGTAAGTGCACCCGTGTCGTGCAATGCCCGCAGAGAACAGAAGAGACCTTCGGATCCCCTGGGACTGGAGTTACGGACAGTTGTTAGCTGCCAGGTGGGTGCTGGGATTCAAACCCGGGTCTTCTGCAAGAACAACCAGTGTTCTTAACCACTGAGCCATCTCTCGACCTTTTATGAGCATCTTCCTTGCATTCACTCAGTCATCACAATGTCAAATTCTGAGGCTCCAATTTATGCACTCAGTCATTGCTTTTTAGTTTTTGCATCCACTCTATGCCAGGTTTAGGTGACAGACATCACTACCCTCTTGGAACTTAGATTTCCACAAATAAACAAAGAAACTAGCACGGAAGGATCTTGCTATGCTGTGGGGATACCTGCAGAGGGGCAAAATGACAGTCTGCAGGCTCAGGGGAGTTTTGCTATTTTGCATAAGGGCCTAAAGAGGCTCTTTCTGAGAAGAAAGCATTGAACAGGCTCATGAAATTATGAGTAACTGAGCCCAAGTAGGCAGGACACAGGAAACAGCACGTGTGAAGGCCCTGGGGTAGAAACTAATTGGTTTGGCAAGGACTTTGCTTACAGGATTTAACTTGATTCCTGCCCTTCACAACCACATCCCAGAATGAGCCAGCCGTGCATCTCCCCTGCATCTGCCCATTCGCTGTGCAAATCAGACATTTGTAAGGAGGTCAGCACATCCCATTCTCTTCAATCCATCAAATCTTCAAAGTCACTTTCTTTTAGCCAGTCATAGAAAAACACAACATACAAGCAGATGTACAGTGTAACATCTACCCAGAGGTAGCCATGCCCAGTACATGCATATATAAGAGTTTGCAAATGTGAATGAGTATGTTAACATGTATCACTGAAATAAGAACCAATGTCACAGGGACTACAGAAAAGGAAGTCTGGAAACAAGGAAGCACAGTAGGTCTGTTGAATATGGATGCTTACCATTTAATATTATAGTTCAAATTTCCAATTTGCTTTGATTGAGGTTCATAGGCATGATCTACAGTGTTAGCTACATCCGCTCTAAAAAATGAATAGTATTGTTTAAAAGTAATGCATAAATACCTATGCATGATTAAGTT